ATTTTTAGATTCCCAGGTAGAACTCAATGGAATGTGGCGGTGTTGCCATATGTCCACATACAGTTATCTTTTCAGAACAAAGCAGTGCAAACCGCATTCCGCTGGCGTTATTCGTTAAAAAGTTATGGGCTACAAAAATTAAGCTTGCAGCCGACGTACACTGTACCGATATCCACTAGGGGGTATTTGTGCCTCACGAATTTTCACGTCGGTCCCACATAATTGATCATCTACCTCCCATTCGGATAAAAGAGATGGGGTTTAACGTGCGGACTGGAGTTACATTTGATTCCTCCAAGACGGAAGTGAACCTCAGGGTTGAATAAAAGATGATATTTGGGACATAAAAAATAGGTACTGTTACCCGGTGTCCTACGTGAGCGATTAAATGCGAGCGGTGCGAGTTGCGAGGGTAAAGCAGAAATATCAAACTGGCTGTTTGTGTGGCGCTGTCCTAGGTTCCAGCGAAGCGGTCAGGAGAGGGAAGTGGCCAAAGTCCGAGATCAAATATTTTGGTATTTTCGTGCGAGTCGCTGTGCTGGCCAGTAAGGCGCATGTGCAAGAAAGCCCTGACCGTGCCAGTACACGGAAGGCGCATGCGTAGGAAGGCCGTGTGCTTCTATTGCGATCTCTCACGTAGGACACAACAAGTGATTCCCCGCTTTATATGACACCCCATGCTGCTTATGCAGCTCACTTGTTATCGCTTACGTAGGACATTGCCTTATACTCATCTTTGAACACGGGACGGAATATCGAAACACAAAGTCGTCGGTAGTGAATAAATTTCTGCTTTCCGTAGAAAGCATTATTACGAACTGCAGCAGGCCTTGCTGGCTGCCGTCATGTCAGCATGCTGCACAAACACCTGTACACCTGACACGCTCACTCACTCCCCGTCTAACGAATTACAGGGCACTGGTAAAACGTCCACTCGCTACTATAACTATCCTTCCTCACTACTTCTACCTTCTCTGTTCTTGCAGAAAGTTATATCCCGAACTAGAGTCAGTGGGGAACAAGGATCACCTCAGGGTTGACGTGGTAATTTTTATGTATATCAATAAATACAGGAACAACAAATTTAAGAAACCGAATAATTTTACTTTTGAAATTAAAGAAAATCTTATACACTATTTCCCTAACTGGTACAAAAGTTTGGTTTACTGGCTGAAAGCCCGCTGTCGACTATGTCCACTCGAGTAATGCCATGTGTTTTGACCTGCATACCAGATCCCTTGCTGGCGAGGGAACCACCACATATGGCTTTCTAGCGGGGGGGGGGTCCCCTTTACCACTGATCTTCTGGCCAGTTCAAATTTCAAGTCAAACAGTTACAGGGGTTCTGGACTGGTATACTACGGCAGCTCAACCAATAACAGTGTTAACAAATTTGGTCACTTTTACAGGAGGCACAGAAACACTTAAATAGGAAATTTAATTATCTTGTGTGATGTATGTGGCTCTTTAAATACTGTATACCATAAGGCAAATACTATCTACTGTTTTGTATTTAAAGAGTTGATATTATTTTACGGGAATAATTACAGTTAATTACTTTAAAACGAACTGCTTTATAACGCTGTTATTTTAACCATTATTTGCAGTTTAAAGAAGAAGCTTAAGCATTATGAAGAACAGTTTGAACGAGAATATGGTTATCGACCTTCTCATGCCGATAAAATGGGAAATAAGGGCATTGAAAAGATGTATGCAGACCTGAACAAGTTGCGCAAGGAAGTCAAGTGTAAGTGCGGTGATTTGTTTTAAAGCAGGCTTTTATTTGTTGAATAAATCTTCCTCAGAACTTTCTGACCAGAGGGAGGGCCAATATAATGAGTACATCAGGGCGTGCGTGTGTGTAATTAAGTAGTTTTTCAGATTCAGTCAAATTTTGTTAAGTGGGAGCGTTTCCCATGTCACTCTACACACATTTCTAAAGACATGATCTGTAAGATGTGTGTTGAGACTGCATTTGTTAATAAGATAATAAAATAATTTCTTTTTGTTCCAAATTTTGTAATTTTAATCTTTTTTTTTTTAGTTATTTTAATTAGTTGACTGGCAGGATGATTATAAATGAGAGATGCGCAAACATGGCTTATTTTAATGCTTTTCCTCTTGATTTAAAATGTTAGTCTGTAGTGCTGTCAACCCAGATTTTCCTGGGTATTCCAAATTTTGAAAATGAAACATTTGCGACCCCCATGCTCATAGGAACATTTTTCTTATTTTTGATCCTGGAACACACACACAAAGTTTGTACACATACTGTAACGTGGGGCGGTATTGCGACCCTGATTGTCAACCCTGATTTATTCACGTCAAATTAAATCAGTTACAGAGGTCTGCACATACAGTCAACTCTCTATGCCACATCAACAGTCTTCGAGAGTCTGTTCCCTGTACACACACACACATACTCTCACACTGTCCTTCGAGTCTATCTGGTCCCTCGAGCTCGCTCTTCACACTCTTTGCTTACACATCGGCCTGTAGCACCCCACTGGACACACGCTGGCTCCTCGGCCGCCACGGTCTACGTACCCGGTGCTCGCTCACGCAGCCGACCTGTCCTTACCCAGCGCCACACCAGACCTCTCGTTGGCTCCACTCACTCGACTCCACCACACACTTCTGTTACGCCCGATTCACAGCTCTGTTCTTCCCACACTCTCTCTTATCACTCTCTCAACACAATCGGCTTTTATACAAATAGAACAATGTCTATAAACAGACATAACAATGCCAGACACAACAATGTCTATAAACGAGTACAAAAATGCCAAACGCAAGACGTCACAATACTTCTGACTCTGTATATGAGAGACATGGTACTTGGTTTTTTGTGTCTTGTAATGTGCTGTGTCTCATGAAAATTTGGAATTAATCTATGTGTGTTGTAAGTCTTTAGATTTTGACAGCTGCATTTAAATTTTGTCTTTCTCAGATCTTAAAGAAGATCCACATTGTGTGATAGTGGAAAGTTCAACCAAGCCGCTTGAATTAGTGATTGAAGGTAGCGCTGCCGTAAATGGTGGCGTAAACAGCAACAGTGACAAGACGCCCAGTATGGAAGAGAAGTTGCAGGAAGTTGAAAAGGTGAAAATATCTTTAATGTGGCTGCAGTATTAATGTTATTAAATCAATTGAAATATTTCCACATATCCGTTATAATTATTGGCAGGATGTGACCAAGTAATGATGTTGAAGTCACAGCCATGTACTTTGAAAACCAAACAATCTGTTGCGTGACCTCCGGTTTATTTCATTATTCAGCAGCAGGAAAAAAGAAACGGCATGCTTCAGTGTCATGGAAAAATGGTTTGGTCGACTTATGCTGAAAACACAAGTGGATGCTCCAGGATTGTAAAGATTAAACTTATTAAATTGCAACCACACGTAAGACTCTTCGACAATTACAAACCTTGCATTGATCCTTAAAATTAATGATGAGCTGATATGGAACTGAAAGGTTAACACCACGACCAGTTCTGTTTTGCAGTCCTGATGCATAAACCGAGCTTAATGAGCCTTAATGACACCTAGTAAACTGATATGGACAAAATAATTATGGTTAACCATAACAGCAATGGAGCTATGCTGGCGGTAGCATAGCTACTGGTAGGGCCTCCCTAGCCAGATTGGTCGAGGGGGAGAGGTCAGACCAAGACAGGTACCCTGGTCCTCCAGGTTGGGGTTGGTCGCAAGGCTAACAACCTTGCACCGTAAAAAGGAAGATGTTTCGAAACCTCAACCTCGGACAGACGGACCTAACAGAAGGACCGAATGGAAGAGGAGAATTGAGGAGGCCGTGGACCGAATACGGACTGGAGAGCCATAGAAGAAGATAACAGCAATGGAAACCTTATGAGGGAGGAAATGGTGTGGTGCAAGGAGGGATTGACAGTTGACAGTGTGCTACTTCTTACTTCCTGCTACAGGAAAATGGAAAAGTCCGAGGTCAGGCGTCTTACTTAACTCGGTGGCCCGACACGGCTCACACCATGAATTTTGCCAGATGTACAGCTGATCTTGTATGTTCCTACTTCCAGCACTTTGTGTTACCCAAATTGAATCCCTGAACGTAATGTGTATTCAGCATTTGTACACAAAAGTATTCAAGAAAAGTTTCTGTAAATACAGTACTTTAGAAAAGTGCTGTATAAATGTTGAATTTTATGTTAATCTTTTCATGTTATATTTAATACAGCATTTGTCAGAGAAGCGATTACTGGCTGGGAGGTTTGAAAGATTAGAAGAGCTTACCAGGGAACAGCTTTTAGATGAGAAAGTTGCAGTCCAGAAAGCTCTGCTGTATCTGGAAGGCATTTTTGGTCGTCCCGTCACAAGAGGAGACAGGGATCTGGTGCGACCCTTGTATGACAGATACAGAGCACTGAAGCGCCTTGTAATCCGTTCAGGACCGGTAAGTAAATGTCTCATTATTTTACACTAGTTTAAGAAGAGTGTTCCATTTGTCTAACAATTCCATAAAGATTTACAGTGTAAATGATGACTTTCATCTTTAGGTGATTCATTGTCATTGTACTGACAAATGTCAACATTCCAGAATGCATCGTTTGCATAATTTATGTCGTGTTAAGAGGTGGGTGTGGGGTTAGTGTAACCCGCTATACTACCATCTGAAATAAAGTGTTTACATTGTTCATGCAGTATTATCTGCGTGCACGTGTGAATATGGAGTGAATAGTGCCACAAATATTGTTTTGTGGTGTGTGAACGCCAGCTTTGCCGGGTAGTTGCATAAACCAAGCCACAAGAAGCGGATCCAAAATCACTACTACGGAGCACAGAAGACACGGAAACTGAAGTTGACATTAACCGTCGAATGCCACACCACATCTGTGCGTGTGACAGCCAACGAAGTCCGAGGAAGAGACCGAAAGAAAGAGACAGTGTATGCACTGATTTCTGCTATCATCAGAATAGTATTGATTCTTTGTCAGACTCACTCAAGAAAAAACCATAGTTCACCCACATAGACTCTTTGCACCCTGTCTTACTCTCTTAAGATTTTAGCCAATGAAGAAACCCCATCATTTGCTCGGATGATTGACGTGTTGCCAATAACTTCACTTCAAATAATGTACTAGGAGCAGTAAGTTCATGTTGTCTGCATGGCAAAATGGCACTGCCTCACTTAATGGTACCTGCACCTTGTCATGGTGGTGAGGCTTGAGTACCTCAGTGACCCCAAGAGCTACTGGTAGGGCCTCCCTAGCCAGATTGGTCGAGGGGGAGAGGTCAGACTAAGACAGGTACCCTGGTCCTCCAGGTTGGGGGTTGGTCGCAAGGCTAACAACCTTGTGCCGTAAAAAGGAAGATGTTTCGAAACCTCGATCAAAGCCTCAGACAGACGGACCTGACAGAGGACCGAATGGAAGAGGAGAATTGAGGAGGCCATGGACCGCATACGGACCGGAGAGCCATAGAAGAAGAAGAAATGGCACTGGGGATAGTTCCAGATTTGGTGGCCTCACGTCATGCGAGGAGGACATTTCTTTTCTCGTAATGCTTGTGTTTACGTGTGCTGAGACTGGTGGTTGGACCTGAAGCGACTGAAGTTACGAGAAAGCGTGCAGTTGGCTCATAACTCTGTGTTTTAATACAGGTCATGACAGTGACATTTCGGGAAATTTCCTTGTTCATTGTGTACCATCTCACCTGTGTAGTGAATGGAATTTATTTTTATTTTGGTTGATGCTGTGTAAGTTAAAAGTGTTTAAGTCTTAATTATGGCATTGAAATTGAAGTGTTTAGATGTGTATACAAAGCTTTGAGTAGTTTGTGTGGATTTATGGCCCATCAAACAGTGAAATTGAAGACTGTGTGGATTTTTCACTCTTTCAAAGAACAGTGACAATCAGCATTTATGTGTGACGGAAGGCCAGTTATTCTAAATGTGATGTTTGGAACCAGCTTGTGATGTGACTTATGTACATTTATACGCTGTGCACAGTGAGTTATGGGAAACACGCATGTAGGGTTAGTGAATGTGCGGTATTTGGCGGATGGGACTTTCCTCATACTTGGTTGGTTGTAAGTTACATGTGGCTATACAAATATGAGAATATTTTAACCGTGGGTTCGAATCCCACTCAAGCCATGGATGTTTGTTCGCGTTTTTCTGTTTTGTGCTGTCCTGTGCACAGGTAGAGGCCTTGCGTCGGGCCGATCCCTCGTCCAGGGAGTCTTACCAAAATGTCTATACATGAAAGCCAACGAAAAGTTGGGACCCGCAGCGCTTAGGCACTTGAAGAACGGGTCGTTCCTAGTATCCCTGGTATTGGGATTAGTTAATATTTTAATTGCATTATAAGGGTAGGCAGATGTCTATAATTTACAGATTAGTCTCAGTTCCACTAGTAGCACTAATGTTTCTTTTCAGTCAAAGCTGAAAGACAGTTTGTCAGAGCTGGCGACCATTTTGGAACATGAGACAATGGATTTTACTAGCTCTCCACCATCCCTCTCAGTACAAGAAGAAACACCAGAAGCATTGGCCGTTGCTGATAATGCTGACGTGCCAACAGAATTTCATCAAACATCCGAATCATCAGATTCTCTCTGGGAAAATCTGCACTCCTTGCCACTGTAAGTATTTATGACATAGATAAGAAGCGGCTCATTGGTTCCTTGCCTAATGCTCTTAGAGATCGTCTGTTGTGAACCCTCGTATCAGATACAGACCCTATGTAACTCTAGAATTCATTTCTGAGAGGTGGGGGCACCAGGAGGTTCGATTCTGTTGCCCCCCCAGTGATAGGGTGTTTATGGAAAGGAGGCCCACTGTTTAATGTGGACTCTGAACAATGACTGGGGGCACTTCATTTTGCTACCTCAAACACAGTATGAGCGGTACTGTATTTAAAATTGATGTGTTAAAGGTTAAATAAATGTTTCATTACTGTAGCTGTAATTTTGCAAAAGTAAACAAAATTTTGGATTGTTTAAATCTAGAATTTGTGTTAACAGTGACTTGTGTGTATACTCGTACATCATCTATTTTTCTCAGTCATAACAGATTGAATAATTTATTTCTAGGTCTGAATTGCTGAATCAGCAGAGAACAACGCGTGAAGAGAAGAAACGACTTCGGCGCTCGCTTCGAGAGTATGAAGAAGACTTTCAGCGTCGAACAGGAAAGAAACTTCAGCGAGAAGATCGCGTCCCCATGGAGAATATGTACGTTGCCTACAAGCAGGCCAAAGCAAAGCTACGTCTGTTGGAAGCTCTGGTTACAAAACAGACTTAAATTGAAGAATAGTAAGCTGAAACGTTGGTTTTCGAAGATCGTGTCAGTCAGAAGTCGGATTTAGTACTTTCATGACGTAACTTCATAGAACTAGCTGAAATAATGATGATAATTGCATAAGAGGCTGATATTGGTGTGAAGAAAATTATTAGATGATAATGATTTCATGTTGCACATCTTTTTTAACTGGTTCACAAGACAAAGGCTTCACAGAGTATTTTGAGATTAACTTTGAATACTATCGTTTTTCCTATTTAATGAATGTGTTTGTTGTTGTAAGATACTTACTGGAAACTTTGGAGTTATAAGCGTACATAGAATATAATTTTTACGTGTGTGGCAGTTGGTGCAGATGGTATTCTCGGTTACTGAAAACTACAGATAAGGCGAAGGTGTGTGTTCTGGTCTCGCCTGCTAATTCGACGTGTAAAAGAAAGGCAAATTAAATGTTATATTGTGAAATATTATAAACTGCATTGAATAGATATTTATTTGGTATATCAAATAGGATAAAGAATTCTAAAAGATTTATATTAAATACTTTTAGAATTCTCAAGTTACTGAGTTTTGAGTATTCAACAGCAGCAGGGATTGATACATGGCACGATAAAGATTGCTGCTGTGGTGGAGCATCCAAAGCTAAAGAAAAGTAGAGCATCGTACGTCCTGCGTAAGGTACGCAACTGTAAAGTCGATGAACACTATATTTGATGTCTGTGTCTTGCCAGATACAATGCATTCTCACACCAGTAGATTTATGACTTCAATATGGATTAAGCAGTAATCATTGACATCTTTTGCACTTGCTTCCACATTATATTATTTATACTGTCCAGTGAAGTATATTGTTGAACATAGTATTTACTGTGAAGTGGAGATGTTTAATAGGATTTCAAGTGTAACAGATGCATTAACTTCAATAAAATCTGTGTTTTTCTTAACTTCATGCAACATTACAATAAAAGAAATGTGAAAGAATAATATTTAAATAAAACTATTATTCTTTAAAGTTGCTGATGCTATGACAGCAATACTTTAACCCACGAGCGTTGGGAAATACTGAGAAGTGAGGTTATCACATTGTTGAAAATGTTGATGGTCGTCGGTGTTGTGATTTGCAGTCTTGTAGACGGCACACAACAAATGGAAAGTAATGCTAATACAGGGAAATTATCTTCCAGAGTTGTTTGACTCTCGTTTGTCAGGTGACGAGCAATGAATTTGCAAGCATATATTACAGTGGCCAGCATTAGTTAAAGAAGACATATTAAAGTATGTTTTTAAACAAAGTGCATGTACTAGACTAATTAGAAATTGAGTCTGTCAATTTTGTTGCGCTCTCCATATTTTAATTAGATGCATTGTCTCGATTGTTACGAATACAACTCGGTGTACTGCCATATGCTTGAATTATTTTGCGGAGTAGAATCTGTAGTGGTGAAAGATGCATGTTTTAGAATGTAGGGTTCATGAGCAGACCAAAGATACAGCTGCTGACCTGAGAAAGATAGAACGTAAATTTGTATGAACTTTCATCACGGGAACTGAGAAGTCTAACTTTGTATAGATTCTGAAATTTATTAGTCAGAATATTAACATACTGACCTGTAGCTATTATCATCATGTAAATGTCTACTTAAAGTAGAGCCATGCGACATGGTCTAAATGACACATAGAGGCAGATATTACTTTCTATTTGCATTTTTCAAAAAAAATATAATGGAACTGTATGGTAACTGCAGTTGCAGTACGATTAATGGAATAATGTGGCTTTGATATCAGGCGTTATGCAACAGAAACTTGTCGTAAAGAGTAATAAATCTCGGTTGGTTATAATATAATGAGTGAAGTACAGTAACTGCACACAATATACACTGATGATTTCTGCATTGCAGCTCATTTATATTTTACTCTAAGAGCAAACTTCAATATCCCAGGTAATGAAATTAAAGATAAATTATGAACCTGATCGTACAATAGTCTCTTGCTTTCCAGGACAACGCTAGTGTATGATCTACATTGTTTAGGGAGACAGGGTTAGATCTGGTCAGTGCAGTGATTTTGACCTTTTAAGAAATCTTGTAACATCTAGGCAGAAGTCACACTAATGATGAAGCTTGTTCTAAACAAGTTATATTTATATATCAAAAACACCAATTTATATATGCTGGGCAAAGATTAAAAAAGTGTTAATATTTAATGTGCATGGTTGAAGCGTAAGATATGTTAGAATGAGGTTGAAAGGTATGTTGCATTAAGAAATTAAGTTTTTGGTGTATGATTTCAGTTTTCACACTTACGAAATAGAGACTGAATAATATAAGACATGCTACAGTACAATGAATAATCATTAAGTATATATAATGTATAATTTAAGTGTTGGAATAATTATTAAATAATAATAAATATTATTGATGTAGGAAATTAATTGCATGTGTTACAATTAAAGTTCTCTTAAAGTAAAGCTTTCCCACTATACGCCATGCAGGCGCCTGGGGAGGGATGAGCTATAGCTACAAATTAAAGTTTTCTTAATATATTTAATTCTAAGTCTGACTATATTCAGTTTGTTACTGGTTCGTGGAATGTGCAACAGATATGTTTATTGCTTACTCTTGTAGCCCCTGTCTGTCGTTCACAAAATTGTGTGCTGCATAGACTGCGACAACATTCTGTAAATGTTCGGTAAAGTGAGAAATTTTTATGATAATATGGAAGACTGATCTTAATTAATTTCATAAGTTTGTATATTAGTTAACACAAACACCACTTACTAATTTGATATTTATTTACCAATTTATAAGAAGTCCAAATGAAATGAAAATGTTTTTTGAACAAAGGACATGATTTTAATTTGTGAATGGAATGGTGTTTGCATCGTAAAAGAGTTACAGTGGAACCTCGATATATAACTCAGGTTTCAGGGATCGGCTTTATATATGAAATATGTAAAACATATGTAATTGTATTGGGGAACACGATCAGAGCCGCGGTATATGGAGGTTCCACTGTGCTTAAATTGTTGTAACTTAAATTTCCACAGCCAGTATCTGAGCTTTCAAGTTTGAGTCATGTTATTTGTTGAAACCCTTCCATTTTAGCAACTGCGCTGTTTGCCATCATGTCTGTAACATTTCGACAAATATGACTCCAGCATGAAACGTGATCTTTTACATTAAATTGTTATATATGTTTATTAAAACACCATTCACCATGTTGCTTTGCACAGTATATTAATTAAATATAATAAAAATTCATTTTAATGTGTAATTTATCAAGTACATTTAGCTTTATTTTGCATGCATAAGTTCTGCAAACCTGTGATTACATTGATACTGCAGATGGGTACAGTCGATGGCATCACTATGTGATTTCACAGAGAAAGAAGGAAATTTTGGAAACAGAACCAGTTTAAATGTCTGTCAAATCATAACAGTGTGACAGGAGTAGCAGAATATTGACTTTTCCACTTGTAGTTGCTTGTTCTTCATTGTTTGGAAATACAGACTATACCCATGAAACAGCTGACTTGATCTTAAATGAAATTAGGTATCTGAAGTTTTGCAGAATACTTTGAAAGCTACAGTATCAGTGTGTCACATAAATTCTATAAAGATAATAGTAAAATATTGTGTATTCAGTGTATCTGCATGAAAGCTATACAGTGGTTGCAAGAGGCTAGGTAAATATATATATATATATATACATAAAATTCTGGTCATATTTCATTATAGTATGAAACTTTTTTGCTTTAATTAGTTAATAGATTGAAACAGTTATATGTGGAATGTTATATGTTCAGCGTAAGTTTGTTGTAAATGTACTTAATTTTGTCAGTTATTTTATAGGGATGAAATTTAATTAAAGAGATTTGGTTTCTGTTGATATTGGTCTAAAAATTCTTTTCATCACCAAATATAAATTCCTCTGACCTCAGGATTGGCAAATTTAAAGTTGGCAAACTTACATTGGCTGTTAATGCTACTTTCTGAAGTGGTCAGAATTGATTAAAGCAGACTTGTGCTAACAGAAACTCTTGAACTTTCTTTGCCATCTCGCAATTAGTAGTATTTCTTATCTGTTACACATAAATGTTTTATATAATGAACTACATTGTATGGACCCATTTAATAAGTCAGTCCACCATCACTTTCCTCCATCTTTGGTGTTTGTATTATTTAAGTCAGTAAAGACCTGTTCTACATGTTAACTTTCACAAGCTTCGGGAAGTTTCTTAACAAAGGACACAGCTGTAAAACCCTTATTATTCAGTTTTTAAATTTATGAAATTGTCATTCACACTCCTGCTGGTACTCTCAAAGCAGCCTATTTTAACTCCTGTATGACAAGGACATAGCAAATGTAGTGACATCTATCAACCATAGTCAAAACTACTACTACAAGAACTCCTACAAAGTGTGACATTTAGTTTCAAGATTGCCTGCATGTGTGTTTAAGTAAGTAAGCAGGAACTAAGCTGCAACATGGTATGAAATACATTTGGTTGTGTCTTGTGTGTTGGTGAAGCAGTGGCAGAGTTAAATAAGCGTGTGTTCTGGTTCTGGCAAAAAAATGAGTGATGGAGCAACACATTAACATCAAGTTTTGTGAAAAGTTAGGCAAACGCTCAAGTGAAACACCGCAGATATTAATTGAGGCTTACAGTGCTGATGCTATGAAAAAGTCGAATGTCTTTGAGTGGCATAAAAGATTCAGAGAGAGTTTGGAAGATATGGATGACATTTTTTTTATCCCAAGGGCATTGTTCCTATGAGTTTGTTGAACAAAATCAAACAGTGAACTAGCATTGTTATTTGGAAATATTGGTGAGGTTACATGAGGCTGTTCATTGGAGAAGACTTGAAGTTTGGCCTAATGTGTGGGTGTTGCGTCATGACAATGCCACTGCTCATGATCCAATTGGTATACAGGAATTATTATCCAAAAATTTGATATTAAAATTGGACCATCCACTATATTCACCTGATTTGACCTCGTGTTGATTTGGCCTCGTGTGAATTGTGGGTATTCACAAAATTGAAGGGTACTTTGAAGGGCCAAGATTTTCAGATATTGCCAACATTTAGGGACATCCGATGACCATCCTGAAGAGCATTCCAGAAATGTTTAGATGTATTAAGTGTACTGGTGTGCAAAGAGATTTCTTTGAAGGTGACAAGAACAATTAGTGTGTAGTAAGTAAATGTAGTGAGTGTGTGTGCCTGCTCTTTTTCAGTGGTTCATTTCACCATTCCTTTATCATTGATGTGGTCCACTGTTATGATGAAGTGCCTGTTCTGTATTTGTATTACTTTCCTTAGTTACATATCAAAGTTTATTATCAATAAATAAATACACAACAGGGCCCTTGAAATGTCCTACTTTGAGTGAAGATAATGTAATATGAGGACTGTATCTAGACCAGGATTCAGGACAGCCTGTAGATGGGCAAATTAGAACAGCTTGCAGATGATGGTACTTGGTGAGCAGAACTCATATTAGAAAGGTAGAAGAATTTACAGGACCCAGTATTGGATTGGATTGTAATGCAACACCTGACATCAAGGATGAATCTGGTCTTACAGAGAACTCCAAACTCTATTTACAGAGTTTGTGGTCACATTATTAATGGAAGAATAAAAATCTGTACTGCCATCATTATTGCAGCCTGCCACCACAGGGTACCACAGGTAAAGAGGCAAAAGTTTCCAATCCTAATTTTATAAATGAGGCACAAGAAGAGGATTTCAATGAAGAGCTGGTGATTTATGACAAACAGTACTAATTTTTTTTTCCAAATTAATTATTCAAAACTTACTTTTTGTTACTTAGCATTATGATATTGCAACTATCTCCCACCCATATACATAAAAAGCAGAATTATGATTTACTAGGTGAGATGGGAAGTATCTGTCAAAGAAGCTCAAGATACATGATGTAAAAATCTACAATCTCTGCTGCTCCTGATGATCTGACACTTCAAATGGTACAGTTTGGAAGAACAATGGAAGATGCTAGTCACAACCATTACATGGATAATTATGTCTCCTGACCTATTTCCTACAACAGCTTACTGTGACAATGTTTGACATAACAAAAGGAATGCCCCAAAATTTTTAACTCAGGGCCCTGAAAATAATTCAGACATTGTAAGACTTGAGGTTCTCACAGCGGTGAGTATGAAGATATCCGTCTTCTGGGTTATTGCGCTGTGTAGTCTGGTCGATGTTAACCAACGTTTCAGAGGTCATACTGCCTCCGTCATCAGGGACGGAGGCAGTATGACCTCTGAAACGTTGGTTAACATCGACCAGACTACACAGCGCAATAACCCAGAAGACGGATATCTTCAATTCAGACATTGATTATATATCATAGCATTATGCTGGAAAGATAAGAGTGGGAAATATATCACACCCATCTGAAGCCAAGGGAATTTCTGTTAAAATTATGGAATGCTCTGAAGCCCCAAGAAGCGTAAAACTATGTCCATCATACATGAACTATGCTGATGCAAATGACAGGAAGGCCGATAGTTGCAAAATTTCAAGGGAACAAAAGTCTCTTTCTTTCTTTCTTCCCTCCATACATTATTTCCTTATACAGAAGGTTTATGAAGTAAAATGGCCCACTTGCAGTTCAGGGAATAACTTGTTTGTGGCCTTGTCTGTGTAGTAGAAGACAAGAAGACATGGCTGTAAGTGGAATACAAGAGGAAGACGAAGTCCAACCTCATCCCAGATCTCCATCTGGATATAAAGCACATGAAACATGAAGCAATGTGTGTATACTGTTGTGAGGCCTGTGTGTTGGAAACTGTACCAAGCAAACCTGACCCTCAACTTGCAGATTTTATCATGGGGGGAGAAAAAATCGAACATCATGTGGGCGTGTATAGCAGGAATAAAGAATTCCACAGCTGAGGGGCAGAATGGAATATGGGTCATCCCAACTGTTAATGAATCTGAGTAAATTAATGTTTTACGAGATTTTAATTCAAACAAAATATTTTAAGGTAAAGAACAGAATTTAT